TGGGGGGGGGTATAGAGGATATTTTCACCCCGACAAAGGAGGAAATGACAATTAATTACTTTATTATACTATGTTATTCTATATTATATTACACTATATTACATTACATCTAAACTGAATCTGCCAAGCACTCAACTCTGCACCCAACTGCTCTGAATCTCTGTCAGTGACACTCCCGACACACACACACACACCTGGATTCAATTGGTCAGCGAATCAAAATATTCACACCAGAATCCAATTATCAATTCCCTTCAGGTAAACAATCTCCCATGATTGTGAACAAACACAGGAGCACTAAATGAGATAAGAATTGTGTTTTCTTTCTCTGAGGTTCAGAGAATGTGAAACCCAGAAATATTCTTGGGAAGAATCGTGCCTTGCTTTTCTCTGAGAAGAGAAATGTGGCAACAATGAGGTTTCCCTTCCCAGGTGGAATTTGGCACGGATCCTTTCCCGGGTGGTTTTTGCTGCCCCTGGGAGCTCTGGATCCCTGGAAAGGGATGGGAGGAGCAGCCGAGCTCATTCATGATGGAGCAGCTCCACTGAGGAACTTCAGGGAATGTGCTGGAGCTTTCCAGATGTGCCTTTGCTCCTCCAAGGCCCAGATGTGCGGGTTCCTACCTGCCCCGCATCATCTGGGGCCCAGATGTGCAGCCCTGCTGTCCTCAAGCACAGATGTTCCTTCTCCTGGAGACCCCTGGAAGTGAACAAATCCCAAAAATCTTGTTTAGAAACAAATTTTGGCGACGCCTGGAAGAACTTGGAAATTTTTTAGGATTTTTTCTTTAGGATCTTTAAAACGTGGGGCAGTTGCTGCCCCTCTGAAGCCGTCAGGGAATTTCTCACTGATTTTGGGGGAAGAAATACAGAAATTGAAGGGTTTGGATCTAAAAGCTGAACATGTTTAAGGCATTTAACGGGATGCCAGAGCCTGAAGGAGGGAAAACATCTCCAAGGGATGTTTCTCCTCCAGAAACAACCCCTGGAGCAGAGCTCCCCTGGATCCAGCACCTTCTCCGAGGTCCCACAAGCCCCGGGACATAAAAGGAATTTTGTCAGGAATGCAGAGGCTTTTTGTGGTGATCTCAGTACAAACGAGGCGGCCCCGGGGGGATCTGTGCCTCCCAAACCCCCCAGCAGCTGTCGGGAGCCACAGCTGCAGCTCCCAGCGCTGCCAAGAAGAAAAGCAGATTTTTGGGTGATGATAATATAGGAGCTGAACAAAAAAGGGGGGAAAAATAGGCTGGAAAACACGGTTAGAGACTTCAGGGAACTTTATGGTCAAGCAGAGTTTATGTAAGCCCTGCTTTAATCCTAAATTAGCAAAGGTTCGCCTGAAAGAAAAGGGACTTTGCTGTGAGCACGATTTGGTTCTGGCTCTCAGCGAGGCTGGGTGGTTCCTGTGGAAAACAACAGCCAGGCTCGGGAAGGGAAAAAATCAATTGATGCAGTGAATCCCCTGTTTTCCTGGGAAAGAAGGAAGAGGTGGCAGGGCCAGAGCTGTCCCCAGCTCGGAGGTTTCCTGGGTCACCTTGTCCCTTCTCTGCTGCACATTTTGTGGCCTCTCACATTTTTGAGACCCTCCAAAATCAACATCTGCACCCCACAGGGAACCCATAACCCCCACATGGAACATCTCTGGAGCCTGGGATTGCTCCAGGAGAGACAACATTGGAGTTCCAGCTCCTGCAAAAGCTGCTGAGGACCTGGGGGATATCCATGGGGGGCTTTCTGCTTGATCTCCAGCCAAAAATGTGGGGCAAAACTGGGTTTATTTATTCCAGCTGGGTTCACCAGAGCCTCAGGAGGCCGTGCCTGGTGCTGGGATCAAGGCAGGGAGAAGGGAAAGGGAAAAGTCCAGGTGGAGGAATAAGTGACTGATTAAACATTGGGAAAGGACTGGATGGTGCCTGAATTCCGTAGGAAATTTGGGAATTGAAGAGCTGAGCTGCCTCCTGTGGGCAGCTCAACCTCCAGCAATGCTGAGCTGGAAGGGTTTTTCCCATCTGTAAAAAAATCCCAATTGTTCCTCTTTCTTTTCCTTCCTAAGTTTTAAAAACTGAAATCTTCAAGCCCAACCCTTGATAAAACATGGGAGAAAATTGGGCAGCACAAGTCAAAGCATCATTTGTTGACAACATTTCAGTTCTTGCCTTTTTTGGGCCAAAATGGGCAACTCTGAAACAGGAATTTCCAAGGAGAAGTGGAAATTCCTTGAAATAAGCCAAACACTGGCAGTTCTTTTCTCTGTATCAGTTTGAATCAGGGGCTATGGGCTCCCCTTTTCCTGTGAGAAGTTTTGATTTCCCAAGGTTTTGTTTGCAATGTGGGGGGAAATAAATGTAGCAAATGCCATAAACAGCATAAAAAGAGTGGATGTTCTGTCCATGGGACAGAGAAACTGGAAATTCCTCATCCCTGGAAGTGTCCAAGGCCAGGCTGGACAGGGCTTGGAGCACCCTGGGACAATGGAAGGTGTCCCTATGGAGGGGTGGAATGGGATGAGATTTAAGGTCCCTCCCAGCCCAAGCCAGTCTGGGATTCCAGGATTCCCATGGATGTGGAATTGAGGGACTGGGATCCCAGGATTCCTATGGCTGTGGCATTGAGGGACTGGGATCCCAGGATTGCCATGGATGTGGGGACAGGGACTGGGATTCCAGGATTGCCATGGCTGTGGGGACAGGGACTGGGATCCCAGGATTCCCATGGCTGTGGAGACAGGGACTGGGATCCCAGGATTCCTATGGCTGTGGCATTGAGGTACTGGGATCCCAGGATTCCCATGGCTGTGGAATTGAGGGACTGGGATTCTAGGATTCCCATGGTTGTGGCATTGAGGGACTGGGATCCCAGGATTCCTATGGCTATGGGGACAGGGACTGGGATTCCAGGATTGCCATGGCTGTGGAATTGAGGGACTGGGATTCCAGGATTGCCACGGACGTGGAATTGAGGGACTGGAATCCCAGGTTTCCCATGGATGTGAGGACAGGGACTGGGATTCCAAGATTCCCATGGATGTGGCATTGAGGGACTGGGATTCCAGGATTCCCATGGATGTGGAATTGAGGGACTGGGATTCCAGGATTCCCATGGATGTGGCATTGAGGGACTGGGATTCCAGGATTCCCATGGCTGTGGCATTGAGGGACTGGGATTCCAGGATTCCCATGGATGTGGCATTGAGGGACTCCTTTTCTTAGACACTGAGCAGAAATTCTTCCCTGGAATGGATTTCCCAGAGAAGCTGTGGCTGCCCCAGACCCCTGGAGGTGCCCTGGGATGGTGGGAAGTGTCCATGCCCACAGCAGGGGTGGCACTGGATGGACTTTGAGGCTTTTCCAACCCAAATTAGGTTATTATCCCTGCTGTTAATGAAGGAATGGGACCACTTCTGGGCTAAGAATGATTTATTACTCAGATAAGCATTAGAGGCTGTGAGATTTATGAGAGCAAGCAGCCAGTTACAGCTCAAGAGTGGCCACAAGTCCTTTGTTACAAGACAATCTGTAACTTTTTAATCTAATGGACAGATGTCACAAAGTTTCTCTTGTTTTTCCAACTTATCCCTTTTATTGAATTTTGCTGTGGGTACTTTTGCCCAATAGGCTGTTGTCACACGTATACACACATTCTAATATATAGAATACATTATATTATATTCTAATATATAGAATATATAGAATATGTAAAACTATATTCTAATATATATAGTTTTATAGTTATAATATTCTATTAAAACTTCTAAACTCTTAGCTTACTCTATATAACTACACTCCTACATTATAAACTCATCATTTTAGCACTACAATTTCTCACTTACTTAAGGCATATTCTTACAGCTCTAGAAACAGAAGTTTATGATTTTTATACTTAATGTCTGTGTATATTTTTTTACATTAATATAATACACAGCCTTTTCACATTAATCTAATTTGCATTAATCTAATTAATCTATTTTTACATTAATCTAATTAATCTATTTTTACATTAATCTAGTGTACAGCCTTTTTCTAAGGCTGCAGATCAAACCCTTCAGCGTTTGTGGAATTTTCTGTTTTTCCGATTCCCACATCAGAAGATTCCAACATCAGAACATAATTCCAAGCTTCATTTTGCTGACTTTGCTGGGCTCTTTACAGAATTCCCAGGATCACTGGGTGGGAAGAGACCTTCAAGACCATCCAGTCCAACCCAGCCCCAACACCTCAACTAAACCCTGGCACCCAGTGCCACATCCAGGCTTTGTTAAACACACCCAGGGATGGGGACTCTGCCACCTCCCTGGGCAGAACATTCCAGAACTTTGTCACAGACACATTTTATGAAAAATCCTTTCCTTAGGGTTTTTTTTCTCCTGGGAAGCTGAGAGGCCTCAGGAACAAAATGTAACCAATGGTTATCTGCTGCTGTGGAATGCAACAGGTGCATCTGGGATTGGTCTCATGTGGTTGTTTCTAATTAATGGCCAATCACAGTCAGCTGGCTCAGACTCTCTGTCTGAGACAAAAGCTTTTGTTATCATTCTTTCTTTTTCTATTCTTAACTGGCCTTGTGATGAAATCCTTTCTTCTATTCTTTTAGTATAGTTTTAATATAATATATATCATAAAATAATAAATCAAGCCTTCTGAAACACGGAGTCAGATCCTCGTCTCTTCCCTCATCCTCAAACCCCTGTGACACAGTGACAGAACTTTATCACTGTTTCCATAAAAAACTTTTTCCTAATATCCAGCCTGTATTTCCCTTGGTGCAGCTTGAGGCTGTGTGCTCTGGTTGTGTCAGTGCTGCTGGAGAAAGAGCCCAGCCCCAGCTGAGCCCAGGCACCTTTCAGGAGCTGTGGGGAGTGAGGAGGGCACCCCTGAGTCTCCTTTTCTCCAGGCTGAGCACCCCCAGCTCCCTCAGTGGTTCCTCGCAGGGTTTGTGTTCCAATATTTTTCCCCGTGGGACTGAGCCCCCTCTCCTGATTTCCTCTTCCTCCCTCTCCTCAGGGAACCGCCTGGACGAGGGCTCGGACGTGGAGTCGGAGCCGGACCTGCCGCTGAAGCGGAAGCAGCGCCGCAGCCGCACCACGTTCACGGCGGAGCAGCTGGAGGAGCTGGAGAAGGCCTTCGAGAGGACCCACTACCCCGACATCTACACCCGCGAGGAGCTGGCCCAGCGCACCAAGCTCACCGAGGCCCGCGTGCAGGTAAGGCCCGGCCTAACCGCGCGCGGCCCGGTCTAAGGTCTAAGCCCACACGCTCCCCAGAGTAACCCTGTGCACCCCTGGCTTAACCCTGCACGTTCTGGCTTACTCTGTGCAGCCCAGCCTAACCCTGTGCACCCCCAGCTTAATCCTGCACATTCTGGCTTACTCTGTGCAGCCCAGCCTAACCCTGTGCACCCCAGCCTAATCCTGCACTCCCCGGCCTAACCCTGCTCAACTCAGCCTAAGCCTGCTCTCCCTGGCCTAACCCTGTGCAGCCCAGCCTAACCCTGCTCTCCCTGGCCTAACCCCACTCTTCCTGGACTAACCCTGCTCAACCCAACCTAACCCCACTCTCCCTGGCCTAACCCCACACAGCCCAGCCTAACCCCACTCTCCCTGGCCTAACCCCACACAGCCCAGCCTAACCCCACTCTCCCTGGCCTAACACCGCACACCCCAGCCTAACCCCGCTCTCCCTGGCTTAACCATGTGCAGCCCAGCCTAACCCCGCTCTCCCTGGCCTAACCCCGCACAGCCCAGCCTAACCCTGTGCAGCCCAGCCTGATCCTGCTCTCCCTGGCCTAACCCCGCACACCCCAGCCTAATCCTGCTCTCCCTGGCCTGACCCTGCTCAACCCAGCCTAACCCCGCTCTCCCTGGCCTAACCCTGTGCAGCCCAGCCTAACCCCGCTCTCCCTGGCCTAACCCTGTGCAGCCCAGCCTAACCCTGCTCTCCCTGGCCTAGCCCTGTGCTGCCCAGCCTAACCCCGCCCTCCCCACCCAGAATGTGGCTGCTCCTTCTCTGCCTCGTCTTAACAGAGCAAAACCTTTGCTTGAACAGGGTTCAAACAATCAAATTAAAGCAGATCCGTACTGGAGGCTTCCAGCCGGGCATGGACACACCCAGTTATGGGATTCCTGCAATTTGATGAGGGTCTTTAATTAGGATTTCTGACTGGTACAATGGGGTGTTCAGGTGTCCCAGGAGTTCACCTCATGTCAGCCCCAAGGGCTTCTTGGCCCTGTTTTCTTCTTAGATTGTGGTTGGAAAACAAAATGTTCTTCTTGGAAATATGGCTCAGCAGCGTTTTAGGGATGCATTAGCAGGTTAATCATTGTCCTAAAATCTTGGGGAAAGGTAGGAAAACCACCAGGAGCTACATAACTCTGGGATGGCACCCCCCAGAGCTACGGATCTGGGGAAAACCCAAAGCTCTTTAGGCTTCACCTCCCCTTGGAGAGGAGCTGGGAATGAGGCGGCTCCAAGGTGGGAGCCGAGGTCAAACCCAGCTCTGCCTCTCGGGTCCCGTCCAACTCCTCTGCATTCCCACGGATTCAGGGAGGCCCTCTGGATTTGGCCCCTGCAGCGGTACCAGCTGCAGGGTTTGCATCCCCGTTGGGACTGGCAGCAAAAGTTTGGCATTTTCTCTTGGAGGCCATCCCTCAGAGGCCCGGGGGGGTTATTCCCGGCTGGAGCAATCCCACATTTCCCAGCCTGGCCCCGCGGAGCAGATCGGATTCTGCGACGTTTGCAAGTTCCGCGTGTGAATTTTCAGACAAGTTTGGGGGATTTTTTTCTTTTCCCCCCTCCTCGGATCTCCGGGGAGCACAACAAGGCCGGGGGGGAGGGAGAGCAGGAGAGGGGAGGAGCGGGAAGGGAGGGTTTGGAGCCGGGAATTCTGACATGGACACGATGAATGGCCCTGGCGGGAGCGGCACACAGAGCCCCTTATGTGTCCCACATAAAGGCTGGGTCAGCGGCGTGTGCAAACAGCACCGGGATCGGGGATAATGGGATCCCTCGGGAAGGGGGAGGGATTGGGGATTGGGGATTGGGGATTGGGGACTAGGAGGGTTACAGCAGTGACATGGGGACCCCCACAGTCTGTGCTCCCGGCAGGAATCCCGGGTGCTGCGGGAGCAGGGAAAGGGCTCTTCGAGCTCTCTCCTGCCCAAGAAATGCTCCTGGAATGAGTTTTTCCAAAGGAAAATTAGCGTTTCCAAAGGAAAATGAGCATTTCCAAAGGAAAATGGGCTCTTCCAATGAAAAATGAACATTTCCAAAGGAAAATGGGCTTTTCCAATGGAAAATGAACATTTCCAGAGGAAAATGAGCTTTTCCAAAGAAAAATGGGCTTTTCCAAAGGAAAGTCAGTTTTTCCAATGCAAAATGAACATTTCCAAACTAAAATGAGCTTTTCCAAAGGATAATGGACTTTTCCAATGGAAAATGAACATTTCCAAAGGAAAATGAGCATTTCCAAAGGAAAATGGGCTTTTCCAAAGGAAAATGGCCTTTTCCAAAGGAAAATGGGGTTTTCCAAAGGAAAATGAGCATTTCCAAAGGAAAAAGGCCTTTTCCAAAGAAACTGGGCTGGGTTTTCCCGGGGGTGTCAGGATAAGGATGCGGCTCCCCCAGGAACTGCCTTAGAGTTTTGGGGTTTTCCCCTCCGATGTTTTGGGTGTTGGGTTTTCCCCTCCTGGGTATGGGGGTGTCCCCCACTCCTGCTTAAGGATTTTTCCCAAAGAATTGTCCAGCACTCCCTGCACTGTGGGAGGTGCTGTCACCTCCCTGCAGCTTCCTCCTGGGAAATCCTGGATTGTCCTGGAGCCATCATCCCTCTAGACTTGGCTGTGGAGACTGGAGAAGGAAATCCAGCACAACTTAGGCTGGCCCGACTTTGATCTCGGCCCAGGGAGTTCAGAAGTGTGGATTTGGTGGCCGTGTAAGATCGGGGATGTTTGGAGCCTGGGAAAGTGGCTCATTAAGGGAATGAAGCCACCCAGGGTTGGAATGTGTGAATTCCCCCGTTTTGTTTTGCGTGTTTTTGCCCTAATTGTGTAGGTGGGCACAAGCTGTCGAGCATGGGATAGAAAATGGATAGAAATGGAAAAAATGGGATTTTGAGGGAGAGCTGAGTTTAGGGAACACTGTGGGATGGAGCATGAGGGACGCTGAGAAGGAAGGGAAGAGCCCCAAAGCCCCAAAGCACCAGGGAGAGCACAAACCTTTCCCAAGGATCTGGGAGAACGGAGGGAAGAAGGACAACCAAAAAAAAAAAAAAAAAAACCAAAAACCGATAAAACCCCATTAATTAATTTTAAAATGCCCTTTTTCCCTGTCCCAAGCTGGGATCTCCCAGGCCCTGGGTGAGGAGGCTCCTGCCAGGGCTGAGCAGCAGCTGCTCTCAGAAGCACATTCCTGCTGCCTTGCTCATTCCAGCAGCCTGGCACGGGCGGCTCCTTCCCACTACCTGATTTTCTGGATATCAGGGCTGATCTTCCGCCGGCTCTTGGGATCTGCAAACATCGCTCAGCCAAGATCTTGTGCAAAAAACTTAAAAAAAAATAGCTCCACACACAGATAAACCCACATGGGCACATCCAGCAGGGAATCTTCCCCCACCTCGGGGGCTCTCTGCTGTCTTGACTGAGTTTTTAAGCCAAGAGTTGAGTTTTGGGTTAAAAATGGCTCCAAGGCAGCGGGGCCAGCTCAGAGCGGGGGTTCTGGGGGTGTTTATGAGGCATGAAGGGACAGGACAAGGGGGAATGGCTCTAAACTGAAATAGGAACAATTCAGATGGGATATCTGGGAGAAATTCCTTCCTATGAGGGTGGGCAGGCCCTGGCACAGCATTCCCAGAGCAGCTGTGGCTGCCCCTGGATCCCTGGCAGTGCCCAAGGCTGGGCTGGAAGGGGCTGGGAGCAGCCTGGGACAGTGGGAGGTGTCCCTGCCATGGCAGGGGTGGCACAGGAGGGGCTTTGGGGTCCCTCCAACCCAAACCACCCCAGGATTCATTCCATGATTCATTCCGTGACTCATTCCATGATTCATTCCATGGTTCCATGAAGGGTCTCGCCAATGTCTGCCCATCCTCCTCATCCCTGAGCTCCACGTGTGGGTTGGGGCAGAGGCACAGAGGGGTTTGTGACCCCAAAGAGGGACAGGAGAGCAGCTGCCTCACATCTGCTCCTTGTTCCACCCATCCCCTGGATCACAGCTGAGGCTGTGGCTTTCCTCCTGCATCAAATTCCTATTCCTATCCCTGTTCCTGTTCCTATTCCTATTGCTATTCCTATATCCAATTCCTATTCCTGCATCCTATTCCTGCAACCTATTCCTGCTCCTATTCCTATTCCTATTCCTATTCCCGTTCCTGTTCCCATTCCCGTTCCCATTCCCATTCCTGTTCCTATTCCTATTCCTGTTTCCATTCCCATTCCTATTCCCATTCCCACTCCCATTCCTGTGCTGCAATCCCCCTTTGACACTCCCTGGACAATTCCAGGGGGATTTATTTTTCCCTCTCTCTCTACCCCTCTCTGGCAGGGGCCGCTCACTGTGCCCATCCAGGCACTCCGTTTCCATTCCCATTCCCGCTCCCATTCCCATTCTCATTCCCATTCCCCATTCCCATTCACGCTCCCATTCCCATTCCCCATTCCCATTCCCATTCCCGTTCCCGTTCCCATTCCATTCCGTTCCCGCCGGCCGCGGGGAGCCACGGGCTGTGTCCGCCCGTCCCGGCCGCTGTTGGGTTAACTGGAGCTGTCGGGATATCCAGAGCTGTCGGGATAACCGGAGCTGTCGGGATAACCGGAGCTGTCGCGATATCCGGAGCTGTCGAGTTAACCGGAGCTGTTGGGATATCCGGAGCTGTCGAGTTAACCGGAGCTCTCAGGATAACTGGAGCTGTCAGGATAACCGGAGCTGTCGCGATATCCGGAGCTGTCGGGATAACCGGAGCTGTCGGGTTGACCGGAGCTGTCGCGATATCCGGAGCTGTCGGGTTAACCGGAGCTGTCGTGATAACCGGAGCTGTCGGGTTAACCGGAGCTGTTGGGTTAACCGGAGCTGTCGCGATATCTGGAGCTGTCGGGATAACCGGAGCTGTTGCGATAACCGGAGCTGTTGCGATAACCGGAGCTGTTGCGATAACCGGAGCTGTCGGGATAACCGGAGCTGTCGGGATATCAGGAGCTGTCGCGATAACCGGAGC